CTACTACTACTACTACTACTACTACTACGACTGATGCGCGCGAAAGGCGCTGCCGTGATGCAACAAGAACAAAAGGCAACAGGCAAAATGTTTGATATCACTCACCATCAAAATGGCCAAAACCTGCTCGTGAACACATGAAGGCAAACACCACAACCAAAGAGTTGCCTCTGCTACGAGGATGAGGCACAGGTGTCCGACTAGGCCTTGTTTGAGTGAAGAGGAATATCACCTCCAAACGGTACGGAACACCACCAGTTGGACCCCAAAAGGATCGTATACATGATGACTACTGCAGCACCTACGTATTTGTGTCCATGTTTCGTCTACCAGACGACTTCGGGTCCGACCGGTCGCCGCAAAATTCCGTCTTCCTCCGTCCGGCCAGGTCCGGCGTCCGGCTGCTTTGGAAGCAAAGGAACTCCATGGCCCGGCAGGGCTTGGGAGGATAAAGCCCGAACATCGCAAGCCTTGGTGCGAGCCGCTCGGCGGCCAGGCGGGTTGAGCCGAAGTCGGCAAGGCGGGTTGAGCCGAAGTCGGCAAGGCCATGTTGGCCGCCAAGGAATTTCCCAGCAATTCCCCGGGATTTGCAATGGATTCACTACGATTCCCTCATTTCGGGGTTCAAACATGTTCAAACATCAGTGGGTTGAATGATATCGCCCAGGTTGAAGAGAAAAAGCCATCGAAACGCATTGGTTCCATGAACCAAAACACTCTCAGGTATGTTTCGAACAATCCAACCTTTTCGATCCAACCTTTTCGGGTGGGTCCTGGAAGTCCTCTGTCGCTCGCGAGTCGAAGTCGAGACACCCTTGTTGAGACATGAAGGTCGTCAAGGGGAGGCAAGAACCTCAGCGGGTACTTCTACGACGAAGGGAGAAGAACCCTCCGCTATGTTCCGCTTCTCACCCGTTGGTCAGCCGCTCTTGGAGTGTCGCATCGATGCTAGTGGTCTAGTGGTCAGGCAAATCTGCAGCATAATATGGCTGAAGGGTTTATTTTGCTGAGATGATCGTCTTTCTTTCCAGTCAAGCTTTTGCGGCCGGTGCTCAAGGCAGTTGCAATGGACATCTCATGAACTTCGAAGAACTGCATACATTTGTGCCTGCTGCCTTTCCACGGCGAGAGGCGGATAATCAGGTTCACTGCAATGCTGATGTACCTTGGTGAACAGTTGCACACTGAGAAGAGTTCTTGGCCAAGAGAAGTTTGTCCTGGTTAAGTCTATCTCTGGAGTTTGGCTGGGACGCCGTGTCTTTATCCTTGTCCTGGCAGAATCTCTGTTGCAAAGATACATGATTCCAAGACCGATGCATTTGGCGCGGAAGAAATACGCATCAAACAACCAGGCTGCCCCAAGCTGAAGTTGTTCAAGGCGATGTTCAGTGCAAAGACACTTCCTGAAGGATGGAGTTCGACGGTGCCAGGACAAAAAGTATGCCCAAAAGGACAAGTTCATGTTGCAGGGGCCGTCTTTCGAGGAGGAACACCATGAATCCCAGGTGCGAGGACTCTTCGACTCCCCCTTGTTGGAACAAACCCATTCATTTTGGGACTGAAGAAGGTCGGCTTCCTCATCCTCTAAGACCTCCACCCTGTCGATGGTCTTGGTATGTCTTGGTATCCACCTCCTGACACCTGTTGAACCTGCGAGATGAGACGAAGCAGAAGCAGATCCAATGGGAGGTCAACAAGTAGAAGCTGATCAAGGAAAAAGGAATCCTTAAAACATGTGTTCCTCTTGGGATTTTTAAAGATTTGTTTAGATAGTTTCTTGCTCAACGTGGACCTCTTTGGATGGGCTTCGTCCTACCACCTGGCCAGAAATCCCTTCTACCAACGACCGCGGGCAGTCGCCGAGGCCCTTCTTCCGGGCGTCCGAAGATGCAAATGCTGATGACCTCGTTGCAGCTGCTGATCTTCTTGGTCTCAATCCTGGCACGGTCTTTTTGTTGAATCCCCATAGATCTGCTTGTACTGGTGAGCACTGCTGAGCATCTCTGTGCATATTCTGCTGGTTTGCGGCAACCTTGGGTCAACAGCTGCTGGAAGAGGGCTCGTATCAGTGTAAACCATGCCAAAAACCAGCAAAAAACAGTTGCATCCATATATATATATATATATCCAAAAAGATGTCCAGTCCCTCACCCATTGGCTCCTTTAAAACTGCAGAACCTTCTGTTTCAATATGTCAACGACGAGGGGCTCGGACGGTTCCAGGTCTCCGGATGTTTCAGCCTGACCGTGCTCATGACCAGTTCCGCGGACCGCCCCGCGTCCGCGCGTCCGCGCGTCCGCCCGCTCTGGACGTACCGCGCCTGTAAGGTGTGAAGTACCTCGGGGGGCGGGAAGGAGAGCCCGTGAGATGTTGAGACCCAGGTGCTGTTCATGGCGAGCCCTGGGCTGCTCCAAAAGGTGGCTGGAGCAGCCTCCAACCATGACACTCCCTGAAACGGAAGTGGAACATAGGCCCAAGGAAGACCATTTCCCTCTACAAGGGGGGTCTGCGGCCTGCTTCCATGATTGTCTCAGGAAGGGTACCCTCTCCAGCCATCGTGGACTTGATTCTCCAATCAGCAGCGACCATACCCACCGCCAGTCTTTGCTAAGGCTGGGGGTGATTCTTTCGGAGAGTACCTGATAGCACGTCATTTAAAACACTTGCATGTGCGGGCGGTTTAGGATTGTGAGACAGGAATCCAAGCAAGGTGCATGCAAAAATGACTCAGGCCCTGCAGGCGGTCTGCTCAAAACAAAAAAACACCACCAAGGAAACCCTTCTTCGCTCTCGTCCTGTATGTGATTTACGTCTTTGGACCCAATCGCTCGATCCTGTCAAATGTCGTTCTCCCTTGTCATCTTCCCATCCCGAGACCGAATCTCTGTTTTGGCCCAGTGGCAGCAGGCCGTACCTCAGCTTCCAACACACAGAGTTGACTCGGCTGGACAGCACCCACGGGTTCATCGACCCCCCACCCCCCGTGGGCTCCGGTCCGGCCGCGAACCGCGTCTCTGCGGACAGAGGAGGGGTGCCACTGGTGCGCGTTCCGCTCGGCCCGACCCAGAGCTCGTTCCGGTCATCCGAAGCGACGATGTTCGAAGAGATGAACCGTATTGATCAATGGATGGGTGAATTGGTTAGTTAAAGAAGGTTCAAGAGGGAATCTACAGGAAAGCAAAGCATGTTTTGCGCCCCAAAAACATCTTCAAGCAATTCTGGGAGTTGACAGACTTTCCGCCTTCTGCCTCCTACACAATGAAGCTCGATAGACATACCTGATCCATCGAGTTTCTTACACACAGTGTCTCAAAGGACTTTGATCAGCACAGAGCTAAGAGATCTAGCTGGGGAGTCATTGCCGGCCAAAGACATGTCATATATGACCCATATGCGGGATCCTGGCATTTAACAATTACCTGAGGGAGGACAGCCCATTGCAAACAGACATTCTGGATGACTGTAGCCGCTGTTCGTGCAGCCGATTTGCAGACTGTCAAGGCACACCCGGTCGGCGGGCGGGGTCAACCGTTTTCATATATGACCCATATGCAATTGACCCCACAAGCTTTGTCATAGCAACACACTTCGCGGGGACCCCATAGCAACTGGTGGTGCGACTTTGGGGTCTAAGCTTGTGTGATCTTGTTTCTAAAGCTTTGACCCGACAAGTCCAAAGTGCGACACTTGCTGGTAACACTTGCGCACTATGCGCACTAACGGATTGCCTGGTGTGTGATGGTGCCTCAGGCTTTCTTAGTCAGCTTGAGACCCGCCATGAGGGCAGGCTGATCCGCTAGTATGGAATCAAAGACACGTTCTAGGGGGTATTTCTATCAAAGTCTATTGTCTGATTCTATCTTTGTTTGAGGTCGCTTGTGCCTGGTTGATGGCTGCACACCAAGTGGTTCAAGTGTTGAGCCCATACTTTAACCACATCCCGGTTCTCAGGTCGTGTGCCTTCGCCCCAACCTTGACCGAACCGGGGGCCCGGTTGGCGCGGCCGGCGACGAGTTTTGGGACCAAGAAACACCACGATGAAGCACAGGAAGGAGATCACCTGCTGCATCGCTGTCAAAGCCTCAGGTCACAGCACCATGAACCAAAACGAGTGGTGCTGTGAACGGGCGCGGCGCCGGCCCTTCGCCGATGGGTGCCAGATGTGCCAGGAAGAGTTCTCCCAACACCTTAAAAACCAGTGAAACTTTAATTCAGGGTACTCTGACCAGGATGTTTTGAAGTGTTTCCTTCAAGAAAACAGCCAAACGGCTGCATTGTGGCCCTTTGAGCTCGTGGGTCTCCTTTCTCACCGAACCCAGCCAAATCGGGCCGTTAAACCCGGCCCAAAGAGGGCAGCCCAAATCGCCCAGTTCCATCCCGTCCGCAATCCCGGGAGGCGAAGTTCGTTCGCCCAAGGTGCAAAGCCCACCGGGCAACCGTGGAGGTCCTCCATCAACGTCTCACCGTTCGGCAGCTGGTAGCCCTGGCCGTCACAGGCTGTCGGCAGCTGAGAGGCCCAGCTTCGGCCCTGTGCAAAGCTTCGACCTTGAGGCCTCGTTCGTTCCGGTGTTGTGCTGCACTTTCTAACAGTAACATATTCTTTGGAGCGATCTCGGAGAATGACTGTCCTTGGTGAATGATCTGAAAGCCAACCTTTCAGGTGAGGGAAACTTTGGGAGGACTTTAGAAAAGTAGTGATTTTACAGAAATTGCATGGAAGGACAGAAAAGAATATCACCACTTTGGACCATCGGTTTGAAGCATGTTGAACTCCAAAGCATTTGATGTTCATCCAACACCTCCCGCCACCGTTGACATCTCCAACATCTCTCCTGTCAAAACACTCCCAACGTCCGCCTGTGGCAGCGTCACATGCGTGCGGAAGACCCAACCCATGAAGATGTTCATAAAGGACCTCTTCAAAGGTCGGCCGGAAAAAAAGAAACAAACAACAACTTGCTGGGGACACCCTTCAAAGGTGGCAAAACAGCCCCCATCATATAATACCAAGCGCTTTCCTTACACAAAGGTATTCTTTCTGAGATCTTTCCACCCGCCTGAAGCCTATGTCTCACAAAGCCATCATGACAAATGTCCCCGGATGCTCCTTTGGAGAGTCGTATGAAGGTGGTTGGCAACGTGGCAACTGTTCGGAAGAGTGTTCCAAACGATGCTGAGGTCAACGTTTTCCCCATTCAATCCTTTGCCGATGTCCTTTTCTGAGAAAAAACAAACAAGCTTGGAAGGCCCCACAAGCATGGCACAAACCTGGGCAGCCGGGTGTTTCGCTCGCTTCGCTCCAACTCATCTTGACTCGGGTTTCCGGGCTGAGCACCAAAGTAGAGGACCAATTTCCCCACGGTGCTCACGCTCTGTCCATGCTCCATCTGGGAGGAAAGAGAGCGGATAGGGCACTGGTTGTGCAAGAGATGACGTCACAGTCTAAAGTCACTTCGGTGCGTCCAAAGGGTTGTTGGATTGGTTCGGAAGAATTCGATATAGATGTATGATGACGTATAGTACAAGTCCTGAGTGATAGATATCGGACTTCGTCTCAGGGAAGACTTTTGCGCTTTTGCGTCGTTCTGCCGCTGATGCCAAGTGAGGTCTTTGGATCGGATCGGGTCTCGGCTTCAACGCGCTATTCCAACAGATGGTTTGCCGCGTGCCGTGCCTAAACACAAAAGCAGTGACATCCAAAATAGAAAAAATACATGTCCTTCCTACAATTGTAGTTCTAGACTATGATATACTATATCATACTATGACCAATTATAAGCTATTTAGGGGAACACAAAGCTATTTGTTGTCATGTGTTCTTCTCTTCATGACGATCAGCTGCAGTCCAAGCACATCCATGCATCTGTTGAGGTTCATCATGAAAATACCTAGCAGGGTGCGATGTCCATCGCAGCGGGTCATTTGGTGGAGGGTCAGGGATTGTGGGACTCAAATTCAAGCTTCTCAGCTAGTAGCTACAAATGGAACATGGTTGGGCAAACGAACTTTGGATGCTCTTTGATACATTTATGTGTTCAGTTCACCAATACAAACTGTTCATTTCAAATGCTCATACAAAGGCTCTTGGTGGAACCATTCTAGAACTCTCAGTCCTTTGGACTGAATTGACCCCGTGATGCTTCAAAACATCCAGATCTTCCGTGGACCAGTTGCGTGATTCAATGATTCATCTCTCCATGAATATCCCTTTTTCAAAACGACATGACCTCGAAGTCGATCGTCTTCGAAGTTCACATCTCTTCGCTTCTCAGAGGTGGCTTGCCGATTCCAATGGCTTGTCGGAGGTGAACCACGAAGAAGCCAGTTCTGGTTTCGAGGTCTTCCATTTCGATGTGCAGCATGTGAAAAACTATATGTGTCAAAACCATTTACATAGACATCATAGATGTCTGATCGTAAAAGCGGAAGTGAGCTGCTGTGATATGTTTGTGTCAAAACACCTGTGATTTGTCTAAACCAGCCCATGTTTAAAACCAACAAGAAGACACAATGCGATGTGCCATGTCCATCTTTGAAGATCACCACGCCTATGACGAGGCCGACGATCGGGATGATGAAGGGCTTCGCCCTTAAAACCGTCGGCGTATCACCACGCCGTCTCCGAGGCGAGAACGTCCCGCGTCAGTCAGCGGCCCCCGAGACAGGGGGCGCTCAACGAAATAGACCGGCAAACGGACTGCTACAGGGGAGGAAAAAAGGGTTTTGCTGAAGAATTCAATCAGGTTGGTGGTTGCGTGGCGGTTCCCTTGCAAGTTTGCTTCGAGGGGTCTTCAAGAGAAGGCTCACACATGTGAGTGTCTGTAGATGTGCCGGAGGATTCAACTTATTATATGAAAATGAAGAACTGAACCCACCGCAAATCCTGAAGTTAATAAGAAGTGGACCGTTTAACCGTTTAACCATTCATTAATAAGAACTGAACCTTCGTTTAGAGATGTTCCGGAGACCCACCGTGAATCTGAAGCGCCTTTCAGGACATTATGATGAGTGCTTCCAGGTGTTATTTCAACAATGCTCAAACACCTGCTTGGCAGGGACACGTCTTGGTGTGAACCTCGACGAGCCGGCGTTTGTTCCTCTTAAAGTGCTTTCATTGTATTTCATAGCACCTGGATGCCTTTCCGGACAAAACTATCTGACAGATTGAGAGGAGTGTAAAAACCATCGCACAGCAGCAAGGTGTTCTGCTTCTTTGGCGCAATGGTCGACCATTTGCGAAAATCCTTCCCAGTTTGGAGAGTCAACCTCCGTGCAGGGCATCCCTCTTCGAAGTTTTTCTGGCCCTTAAAAGCCCCGGGGGGCGCTCGTACAGGTACGAGTAGCCATGCCATGTTCAAAGATTGGGTGACAATCATCGACTGAGTCTATGAATGACAATCAGGTGCTTGCGTGGAAGTGATAGACTACCTATTCAGCAAGATGGAATCTTGATACATGAAACCGCCCCATTTGGGATTGTGAAACCTCAGGTTATATGGGGGGGTTAAATCAACACCTGCTCACCAGCTCTTGTCACCTGCACCAGAAACCGCCCCATTCTCTCTCACCGCCCGCTACCCCTCTCTGCCGTGGGTCGTGTCGGACTCCAAGGTGTCCAACATGTGCCTCGGGAGACGTGAGACGTGACCATCACAGCTCGGACCAAGCCGTCCAGTCCACCCAGAAGAGGCCGTCCAGTCCACCGGACCCTGAGGCCGTCCAGTCCACCCAGAATCCAGTCCAAAAAGCCAGTCCAAGAAGGGTCCAGTCCAAAACCACCGATGAAGCCTACCAAGAATCGGACCTGAATCCGGGCCCTTCTTTAATTATGAAAAAGGGTTTTGGTCCGCCGACTCCTTCGAGGGAAAGACGTGTGTCGGAGGGTCCAAGGATTCCGAGAACTCTTTTTGAAACGTTCGTGCTCTTTGAGGTCGGGGAAAGCCACTTCTAAAACTACATCTAAAAACATCTAAATACCCAGTATAGATCATAGAGGTGGCCAGTATAGGGTCTCTTTTTTTCTTCAGAAATCGCCAAAGTGCACGAACTCGATCTGGACGCCATGATGTATTGGATGCACTTCTGGATGAACCATCTTCCCCGCCTCAGCAGGTCGTCGGTCTCGCCGATGTCTTGTGTGTGTCCACAGGGCGTGGAGAAGCAAAGTGAGGGTGTAGTGGGACCTGCAGCTTAGAACTCATGAGTCATGAGAGACTGTCCCAGTAATTACAAGCTGTTATCAATGCTTCTTCTTCTGTAGCACATGGTCAATACTGGAATGAGATAGCTACCTGACCCTTTGCTCCCAGCCAATCTCTCATCTGCTGGAACCTCTGATTTCCTCCGAGTTCCAATCAGGACTCGGCGCACGAGGAATCGGACTGTGCGCGCCCTCACCGGCGACTCAGGTGCCACCGCTCGAGCCACAGAAATCTGGACGGTCGCGACGTGTCGCTGCAGTCAGCCGCGACTCTCCAAGCGACTGATAAGATGAACCGTATGGAGAGTAAGACCCTCTTGAGCGAGCCGTATGGTAGTATGGCAACAGTATGGCAATGGATTGTTCAAACAGAACCCTCTTGCAGTATGGTGCAGTGGACTGGGAATCTTCCAGTGGCTGGGTCGACACCTGGAGCGTTGGTTGACCTCACTGGCATAGTTTCTTCTGTTCATGTTCGGTGAGTCAAGCAGAATCCCCCCCGGTGGTGCCCACCCCACCCCATCCACAACGTCCACTCTTCTGCCCTCCACAGCATCGCTCCCGCTTGGGCGAGCAGAGCGCCGGGCGAGCAGAGACAGCATCGAAAGATCCATATGATGGAAACTGCACGCAGAACACCCTTCTCCCCCAGTCGGAATGATAAAGCGAATGGCAAAGCAAAGACCCAAAGATCTTCACAGCTTTCTGTGAGTCGACGAAGCATTTCTCAGACCTGTATAGTATATAAAAGGGCCCCAATGGCAGACCGACATGTTCAATGGCCGACACCTTAATCCACCAGCCCACCGGCTCGACTTTGGGGTTTCGACTCCGCCAAGGTCATCGGTGCGGCTTCGGATCCCCCAACACATCCGAAGAAAGACCGGAATCTCGGCGAAAGCTCTCCCTTGCGGTGGCCCGGAGCTTAACCCCTCAAAAACATGGACATGGTGGTTGTTTGGATGTCATGGATGTCACGGTCTCAACCACCATCCAATCTGAATCTCAAACACTTAGTCTGGCCATGTAGCATCTTCTGCTGACATGGCATCTGAGGATCTCTCGAACTCTAATGGAGACTACGCAAATTCAGTTCCTCTCAATTGTCTCACGTCGATATGTCGCACAAAACAATACCATGACCAGCTCGAGGCTATAGAATACTAAAATGAGTTGACATGTCAGTCGTTTTGGCACTGAGTCTGTCCACGCTGGTGTAAACCCAAGAAGTAGTCGCATCTGATATGTACCAAAAATGCTTACGTATTCCACGTGTTTACTGTTACGTTATGTATATCTGATTGTTTTATGATGTTGTTCATTTTTACCCAAGCTTGGCACCCTGGAAAACGTTCAGGGAAGTTGATGTGCTTTTGTTTGCTTGTGATTCCTAGCTTGCTCAGGCTTCGGTAGTTGCCTTGCTACACCTGCAACCCATCGACGCAGCAACCGCTACTCCGAAACTGCCATCTGGCTCATTGCAGCAAAGGCATCCACGGGATCCCACATCGCACGGAAAGCAGGAAGTGCGTAACAACCAAAGGATCTTCAGTACGCTCATGCGTAATTGCCGGGTAGCTATGGAAAAACCTCAGACTGGGTTGGAAACCAACCGGTTCTAGTCAAGACAACACAGCAAAGGCGTGTAGAACTGCTACAGGTTGAGGATCTGACCCGTCACCACTGGACCACGCAATGCGCAAGAAAGTACGGTACTGCTGCAGAGGTACGAGCAAAGCAACCCTCGTTGACGAAGTGATCGGCTTCAATGTCGGCTTAAGTTTTGCATATATACTATATACACAAGTGTGCATATTATAGTTGCCGACGAAAGAGAGAACAACTATCAAAAAGTACAAGTTATGTGCGTTTCTTGATCTAGTTGGTGTCCAGTAGACAAGCGATATGTTCATTCTGATCAATTCTGATCAATCATATACCATTTAAACATATCTAAACGTTGCTGGGAAGGTCATATACCGTATAACCTTTTTTGCTATGTAACACGGTGACTCCAACGTATGATCGGAACGGGGTCCTTTTGTGGATGCCCAGATGAAAGGCTTTCAGACGATGCACTCAGGGAGCCAGGGACAAGGCAAAACATCAGAAAGCTGAGTAAAAATGGGTGAAGGGCCATGGCACTTGTATACCCTCCCAAAAGATATAGACTTGGCAGAACAGCTGCACGCACGATGTCATCTGGCAGGGCAGTATATCGAGATTATTAAGGGTTTTATAGTGCACAAGTCACTGGGGTTGTCCAAACACTCATGTTCGATGGCGGAACCTTCGACCACCGAGTTTTTTGGATCCTCGAGTTGCGGACCAGAACTGGAAGAGCTGTTATTTGATCGGTTCTTTTTCTACACCGCCCACCCATAGTCGATGTGGACAATGATCCTTCAGCATCCTTTGTGGGCAATTTCTTCTTGAACCCCTCCCTCCCCACCCAAAAAAAAAAAAAGGAACCACTTTTATAGGAACTTGAGGTATGCTGCCTCCAATCCCCCATCATTGATACCGACCCTGCTCCTGATGGCAACGTCTCAACCGCAAAAAAAAACTGCACTGCGAGGCTGGAGGGCTGTCCCAAGGCAGAAGCGGAGACATGGTGTTTCTTTTGCACAGGATGTTCACCACTCTCGAATCCAACCCCTGCCTCAGGAGAGAGTGGTCACTGTCCATTCGGCAAAGGGGTGCTCGTCTCAGCACTTGTGCACCGTCCACCGTCTGCGCGAGCGCTCGAACATCAGTAGACGTTCAAGGCGTCAACGGAATGGACATTCCTTGGCACGAAGGAACGACTCCCCCACGGTGAAGCGAAAGCGAATGCGCGACCCTCGCGGAAAGCGAAGGTCGAAGAACGGGCTTCGGGTCGTCCTGGTCTTAGCCAGAACGCTTCGGGTTGGAAGAACCACATCCTTTATTGAGCACATTACAGGGCTCATCTCACACTCCACAGACTACCAGACAACTTGAGAGTAACTATAGGTGCATCGCTACGTTCGTAACAAGTGCATTACTACGAACGTAGCGTCCGAAGCTGCGAACCTAGCGATGCACCTGTTGTCTTCCGACCGGTCGAGGCCGGCCCTTGGTTCACCCTGCGACCGTCCTAGGCGACCGTCACGAAGGGTGCCAAGTTTCTGCAGCTGCTGAGCTACATTGTAGTCACCTGGGTCGTGAAGAAGGCATGGAGGTGTGGTAGAACTGCAGAAGTTCGGCGGAAGTCGGAGCAACATCTTGGTGAAGGGAGACACTCATCTAGACTGTTGATGAATACATAACCCCCTGAATTGGAGTATGAAACCTCTCCATATGGTTTATGCTAGTCCATCAACGGTCTACAGTCTACATTCTTCGTTATTACAATATACTCTTGTTTACCCAGGTCTACCCAATCTATGCAATTTGACTTGAGCACGAAGTTGTTGCCACAACATCAATCATGTTAGCCCTTCTTCTCACCCAGTTCGCCAAAAACCACCTCCAAAGGAACGCGCACGCGCGAGGTCAGAGGTCCCTCTCGCGCGAGCGGAGGTCCTCCTCCTCGCGGATTCACCCCTGGTTCGTCGTCCAGTGGCAGCTTCCCCCAGCATTGGGATGGCCCCAGGTGACCACTTTTCCGCCCGCCACGATGGCGGCGAAGGCCTGGGCGGCACTGGTCGCTGAGGGTCCGCGGAGCTTCGCACGAAGTCGAAGATGGAGAAAACAGCAAAAACATAAGTTTAACAGCTCCTTGTGTACCTGGCAAACACCTTTTCAAATGGATTCAAGTTGGTGTGAATCACCACTTGAATGAAGAAGAAGCGGTTTGTTGATGCTCCCGAACTGACCAGAGACCAGCAACAAACCATCCACCATCCACCAAACCGGGTCGTTTGATCAACCGGGAACGTCGATCAACGCGCCGCCCTTCACCGAGCGGAATGCACGGGACCGGTGGCGAAGGACCGGGACCGGACCACCAGAGACGGCGTCCGGACCGAACCCAGCTGGTGAATGGCTTGGGGGAGTGAGCGAGGACGACACCACTTGCACGACACCACGTGACCACGTCACCACGTCACATATTGGTCACCAACATGGAAAATGTCACAGCCCGAAATCTGACGCTTGGCACTCACAGAGACGGTTTCCTCGGGGTAGTGCTTCAAGCTGGTGACACTGAATAAATCGTTCCACCCCCTCGCGATCAATAGAAAGCTGCTACGAGTACGATCTCTGAAACTTCCAATTCACCAAAGCTCAAAACCCCATCTCTTCACTGTGAACCGTGAGAACCTTCCCAGTCTCTTCGGCTGCCCCACCTGTCGCGAGCCCCTCACTTGCTGCACTTCCTGTGCTGAGGAGCCAAGTAGGGGGGTGACAACAAATGGATTTGAAAGCAAATCTAAACCAGTGCGCATCAATACCGCATCAATGTGTTTACTGTTCATATTCACATGATGCATGAAAAGTTATTCCTACATATAAGCATCATACGCATCAAAAAGTAGCTGTTAAGCATAGACAATGAGTTGCAACACATTGTTAGTAACCTTTTGAGGCTCATCAAGTTCCAATTGAAGCTCACCATGCCTTGAGGAGGTGCTGCACTGATGAGCTGTCGCCACCGCAGTGCTTCTCACCCCAGGTGACCACCTACCCATATGGAGAGATGAGATGGAGAGAGTGTTCATCATGGCTCAACTTTCAGCACCCTGTTTTTCATAGCTGTTTTCAACAGTTTTTCTAACATGTTTGCAAAAGAACATCCAAGAGGTCTGCGTCCAAGCACGGACTGCATCACCGCGGACGCTCGTTTTTGGCAGCCACGGTGCCACAGTGCCGCGGGCCGCGCCTGCCCGTTCTGCAAGATCGCCGCGAAGGCAAAGGCGGTCGACGCCACCTGCTGCACGTCCTGCAGGAAGCGTGGGAAGCGTGTAGGAATGAAACGAAAAGCTTCGTCAACTCTTGGGTTTGAAAAGTCCAAGCACAGCAGCAATGGGGACTTCAGATTGACCAGTTGCAATGGAGATGTCTTTTTCTTCGTGTCTTTTACTGCTGTTGAGCACGTACATGTGGATTGGCCTACAGCCTGTACCCCTGAGTTTTGAGGTCCTTCCTGCGTTCGCTCGATGTGGCTCTGGAAGCCAATCTGAAAAATTCCAAGGCCTCCAGCTTCAGGCTTGATGTTCCAATTTTCCAACAAAGGTATTCCCAAAAACGGACGAAGGTCGTCTCATCCTGTCTTCTGGGTCCATGTTGGCGCTAGGAGCGAGCGGTTCCAGATTCACACATACTCAGTAACCAGACCTTCATGGACAAAGCTTTCAGATCAGCATGGGATCTTTTTGACCCAATTCCCTAGCAATTCGACCAGCCATTCCCGATGTGCGTTCACCCTCATAAAGCCATAGGGTCTATACAAACAAATCGGATAAGACTTCGAATATCGCTATATATACATCGGTCTGTCTTACTATGAATTAGATACCTGCTGATGAAGAGGAACAATTCTGGAGAATAGCTACATATCATTGAATACCGCCCACTCATATCCGATATCGCTTCCTCTTCAACCACGTGGGTCTGTCACAGCACCCTTTGCTCCTTCAGGGCCCAGGTCACCCTCCAGGAGCGCCCACCGCACAAGGGGTCGCCCCAAATCACGCATCCTCCGCCGGTCGCAGGTTCGGAAACTCTGAGAGGCCCGAGGGGGGCCGAGGCTTGTGCTTCGAGGGTCTCAAGTTCGTCCTTCTGGCTGGGGCCGGGTGTTCTTTTCTTCTTTCCGGTCGTTTCTTTCTGGATGGATCTCACAAAAGATGTGGAGATCTCCAAACATGCATTTTTGGTGTTGGGTACCAAAACTCATCTTCATGATGTGTGATGTGGAAGTGACCGACCCGCCGTGGCCCCCTCTAATTGGGAGACGTCTTCCACAAGGGTTGCTTTTTGTCGACTGCTTTCAATTGCATTTGCATGCATGTGCAAAGTTCTATACCAGATGGCCGAAAGTGAGCTAAACCCGCTCATGCGGCCGAAAGATCAGCATCGCCTCACGCAGCAGGCAGATCTAAGCAGATCTGCAGGGGATTTGCACCGCTTGTAATTTTCGCTCAGAAAGAAATCACAATAGATGGGTGGTGCATGAAGTCAGTCATGAAACGAAGCACATTGATCCCAACAAAATCTAACACACACATGAACAATTTAATTTACTTAGTTACATCTCCGCTGTATAACTACAGCCTTTAGAAACATAAGACTGCCATAATCGGATACAATAGGTCTCCAACCAAAGCACCATAACATTGCAATGGGCATGCTGCAGGGCAGAAAGCACAAAATAAGACATCAATCGGTCGGAAATGGGTCCAACTCGTTTTGGTGATTCCTTTACGGCGTGCACCGCAGCGGCATCGGCCTCCCCTTTTCAGGGCTTCGACGAAAGTCCTTAGCGGACCACGAGGGCGGTCGGGGCGGTCATGCCCGGAGTAGTGCCAGCTGACTCAGCTGGTGAACCGCTTCTCCCCCACAAGGGGCGACCACAGCATCCCCAGCAAGCGCGTTAGCCCATATGCCTTGCTGTCATACATCGCGACCGGCGATGCGTTGGCCCCAAGGATACCCAAGCGCCTGCACCCGGCCAGCGGTGCACCAGCTGCCGCCAAATATGGCTCCAGGGTTCGCTGACGTAATGCCATGCGAAGCCCTTCACAGTTGTCAGGGTTGGCGCAAGTGTATACATTGCTTTGTCCAAAGCTGGCCCCCGTCGTTTGGAAAAAGATTGGTTCCTTTGTTGGCCAACCTTCTGTTTTGGCTTCCTAGGCATTTCCTGGCGGCCATAGAAGCCAGAGAAGGGGCGAGCTTCACCTCGAGTTAGAGCTCTACGCTATCTGATGACATTTCCATAGTTTCAAAGCTGTCGAGAAACTCCAAAACACAAAGGACTCAAGCACAGGCTTGTGCAGTGTTCGCTCTGGCCACACGACGCATACCCTCGCACTGATGATGCCATGTGATCCCAAACTTACTTGATTCAATTGACCTGAAATGTGATTCATTTGATTTAATTGATTGAACTGGGGCCACTGTTTCTCCACTGTTTCTGACTCAATTGAAAAATGCGAAACATCGTTTTGTGTCGTAGTTGTGTTGTCCACAGGCTTGGAAGGCACTGTCTTGACTCCATCACACCCTAACTCCATATATAGTCGTCCAAACCAACTTACTACTTTCACTAAACCTCCCTGATTGGAACCCTAGGGATTCAAACCCTAAAACGACACTTCTGATAGGTCTTCCTCTTCGACCAAAGCACCATAACATTGCAATGGGCATGCTGCAGGGCAGAAAGCACAAAATAAGACATCAATCGGTCGGAAATGGGTCCAACTCGTTTTGGTGATTCCTTTACGGCGTGCACCGCAGCGGCATCGGCCTCCCCTTTTCAGGGCTTCGACGAAAGTCCTTAGCGGACCACGAGGGCGGTCGGGGCGGTCATGCCCGGAGTAGTGCCAGCTGACTCAGCTGGTGAACCGCTTCTCCCCCACAAGGGGCGACCACAGCATCCCCAGCAAGCGCGTTAGCCCATATGCCCTGCTGTCATACATCGCGACCGGCGATGCGTTGGCCCCAAGGATACCCAAGCGCCTGCACCCGGCCAGCGGTGCACCAACTGCCGCCAAATATGGCTCCAGGGTTCGCTGACGTAATGCCATGCGAAGCCCTTCACAGTTGTCAGGGTTGGCGCAAGTGTATACATTGCTTTGTCCAAAGCTGGCCTCCGTCGTTTGGAAAAAGATTGGTTCCTTTGTTGGCCAACCTTCTGTTTTGGCTTCCTAGGCATTTCCTGGCGGCCATAAAAGCCAGAGAAGGGGCGAGCTTCACCTCGAGTTAGAGCTCTACGCTATCTGATGACATTTCCATAGTTTCAAAGCTGTCGAGAAACTCCAAAACACAAAGGACTCAAGCACAGGCTTGTGCAGTGTTCGCTCTGGCCACACGACGCATACCCTCCCACTGATGATATGACCCAAAACACAGATCTCTTGACACAGCAAACAGCAAACGAGGGCTTTTCAACAGTCTTCCTCGTGTGCTGTTTTCCTGCCATTCTGAAGTCCACTCACTCTAAGGCTTCAGAAACAACCTCCCGAACTCTCCGGCCAACAACTCCGCGGCCATGAAATGACCTTCGCCGGCAAGCGGACGCTCCTCCACTGTGTAAAACCGCACAGAAGGCCTTCTCATTGGAATGGAGTTGATACACATCCTCCGATGTGGACTGGAGAACACCCAACATCGGAGCAGGTGGAGAGGGAAGCAGGTGGACATCAAAGACGAACAGTTGAGGTACATCTAGTAGCTTCTTGCTCCTTGTAGCGATGCCAGGAGCCCCTAGTAGCATCTTGTTCCTAGTAGCGATGCCCTTTGCTCCTAGTAGCTTCTTGCTCCTAATACCTCCTAATAATATACGAGCAGGCAAGTATGAAATCTCGACTTTGTTTTTTCAATCTTGGTGCTTTACTCCAACTTGGCAAAAGAAGAGAGCTCAGCACAAGGATTACATATCAAGTTGGTTCGGTGTGCAATCTAGTTCAGCATTGATATCCAGGGCAAGGCATTCCTCTTTTTCTGTGTTGATATCGGTTATTCCAGTCACCCATCAAGCCCAACAGCAACAACAATAATCCAAAATGGTTCCCTTTGAAGAACCTTAGTGGCCTTAGTGGCAGCTTCGTGGAAAGCATGGATTTGGTTGGTTGACGAAATGAAGTCCTCCTTGGTGCTGCTCATCTTCCTCAAAAATCCCACTGCTGCAACATGCATTCCCTTTCCAGGATTGTTTGCTCATGTTTGCATGGAGAGGGTTCGCAAACATAACGCCAACCCCAACGCCCACTTGTCGTCACTTTTCAGTCAAGGGATCATGGTACTCTCCAAAATCACTTGTTGAACAAACACATAGAGCCTCCACCCTGTAGTTTCTGACCCTTGTGCCAGGTCTTCTTGAGCTTTGCTTTGTTTCTTGCTTTACAACAATCATCAAACAAGGCCTAGCAGGGCCTGGCATAGCTGTTGGTAAGCCACTCAAACAACCCTAACACACTCTGGGTACTCAATTCAAGTGATGCATTTGGACGAAGGATCTAAGGGTGGGAGTGTTCTTTTGAAGGCTCCAAACTCCTGAAACATCTCCAGTCCCATTCCTGCAACTGCATCTCGACCAGGCTGGAGTCGCCACCGGCCTGTGAACGACAATGCTGGCCAAAGCCCCGAGTTTGGGCCATTTCAATGGAGAATACCAAGAAGGCTTGGTGAGCAAATGCACAAGTGATGCACAAATCTTTTCAGAGCTCGGACATGTCCTGCTCATGCCATACCTGATTTGATGTTGGAAGTTCAGCTCGGGTCTTTAAGCAGTGCTAGTGGAGCTGCTCTATAAATGTAGCACTACTGGCATCTTCAAGCATTGTATCTCTGATGAATCTTCCCTCCATGAAAGAATAGTTCACCGGATTAGTCAATGGAGAGCCGTGCGCGCATTCAAGACTGAGCAGCTCACGAGAAAAACAATGGGCTTTGCGGAAAGGCATGGCGCAGATGAAATACAGCAGTCTCATAGTCTTCCTCTAGTTATCAATAGGTTGCTGAGACATACTCCACCAACATACCAGTTCTTACCCATCACATTAGTTGTTATCCAACCTGCATATGTCATCATGCACATCTGAAAGTCCACCAGCCGGATCCTTCCGAATCTGCCCAATCCCCAGCCTTTGGATCGCCCCAGGTGACCACTGAACGGTCCTTAGCTTGGCAAGCGGCGGAGGCACCAAGGTATATATCCATCCATTGATCCTGTTTGAGAGCTCAGTTGGGTAAGACTGGTGAAGAAAGCCAAGATGCTCCACATCTCCCAGACTGGACTGATTGATCACCAAGAATCCCATCCAAATCCCATCCCACGGCCTTTGCCCAAAAGGCCATGTACGCACCACGCCCCTGCTCACCCCCCCCAACCGCCGTGGTGTTTCCAAGCGCGCCTGGCGCGCTTCTCCCCGTTCGCCACGTTCGCCGCGCCTTCCGGAGCGCTGCGAAGGCGCTGCCGCTGCCGCAGAGGGCCGTGACCTGCTCCAGCTGCGTCTGCACCGCCCGGGAATCTCCACCGAAATCCCGGTCCCTGCGAGCGCGTTGGCGATGGGGAGCCGAGGGGAGAGGAGGACCGGAGGAGGAGAAGACCAAATCGAAACGCCGCAAGAGGGGGGGGGCGAACTTTTTGGGAGAAGCTTTGATTTGGATGCTTCCATATCTTTTTGAGGATCATGAGCCAAGGAGATGGCCGAGGTGAGGAAAAGTTGAACAGCGAGCCTTCACCAGGTCTGGGGGACCTGAGAAGCAGCTCTGATGTTTGCTTTGAGATGAAATGGCTGATGTTTGCGTACTTGAGACATGGCCAGTGCCAGGATCTTTCACGGCCACCCTCCCTCTCCGCCTTGGTTTCCAAGCGCCGATTCGACGCCGGTTCCGGTCCGTCGGAACGCGCGCCGATTCGGAGCGCGCCGGTCTTCCGCGGCCCAGGCGCCCCCAGGTGACGACGTGGCCATCGCGGGTGAGAGCGGCGAAGGCGCGAGAAGTGCTGGAGATGTCCACCACCTCCTGCAACTGCTCCTGGCGCAGAACAGCTCGACGGCGCGCGAAAAAAACCCAAGGAAAGCGGACAGCACCAGGCCGATCTCGAATGGTTCTGGAAGGCTTGTTGGGTGTTTTGGGAGAGGATGGGAGGTGGGTTGGTGGGTTGGTCGAAGTGGTTTTTCAACCTATGTGGGAAGCTCCATGGAATCAGGGAACCAGTAGGCAATGCTTGATGGCCTAGAGTCTAGATGATAGTTGGTTCAGTGCTGTCTAGTCTTTTTTCAGAAGCTTGTCACTGGAAACATGGTTCAACAAGGCCCCATGGTTGATCATCTTGGCTCTTTGAGCAGAGGCCTGGTCTAGTTATCGGCGTGGTGATGGGGACAGTCGCTTCCTCCATCAAATGGAAGATGGTTGATGGACCTTTTCTTGGGAGCACGACCCTTTCTTGGGAGCACAGAACACCAACCCAGCTTGCTCAGGAGTTGCTTCAAACCATTTGCCAGTTTATCGCCACCCCGAGCTGCTCACTCAAATATCCGAGCACAAGTTGTGGCACGGGATGGGTATTCTCCACTTCAATACTTCCAAGTTTTTTGGATCCCAAATTCAGCAAATTCTCTGCTCGTGTTCAGCTTCTACAACATCTAGGACGCCCTATTTTGCTGGGAAAAGCACCAAACCACACTGCTGGTCACCAGCAAATGAACCAACATGTGCATTTTCACCCACCAGAATCATCCAGAATTTCTTCACTTTCAACATAAGAGATCTTCACCACATGTCACATATATGAAATTCTGTATATTTATATACTTAAACCCCAAAATACAACCACGAAAACAACCATGGAATCATGGAACCAGCCAAGGCCCCCGCGTTTCGGAGCCAGTTTCCTCCACCGAAACAGCGGATGCAACTGCTCCTTCACCCAGCTGCTGTCGCCCCCAGAGGCTGCGTTGCCCCAGGTGACCACTGTGCCGTCCTGCGCGCGGTACCGCGGCCCCAGGTGTCACCATCTTTCTCAAGAGATGCAAAAAGACTTCTTATCAGTTGTCATTGTGCTTCTCCTTTATTGTAATAAGAAGTGAACAGGTCTTCTTGGCAAAAAACGTTTGTTCTTGTGATGTGTGGTGGTGTAGGGTTTTGCTGGATTGGTTTATTCGTCGACACCTCTTTGAGGGCTGCAAAGGCATAGTCGGAGGCGCACAAGCTCCTTAGGCAGAGGTGGCCACCACTGGAGCGACGGCAGAGGTGGCCGAAGTGCACTATATCGTCAACTCAACTGAACGGGGCTTTCTGAACCATGCTTCGTTCTGAGTATCCATGAGTTCCGCTAGTTAGTTGCAAAGCCAACAAAATCCAAAAAGAATCCGTATAACATACAACTGAATGACAAACCAACATCATCCAACATCGTCGTGAGACTCCGTGAGACCCCACCACTCATTGCAGGAAGACCAAAAACATCAACCACGGCTGAGCAACAAAGACATGTTGTAAAGAACGGGCGCCAGATGTCTCCAATACACCGGCAAACATACCCTGTCAATCCCCCGTCATGTGGAGGTCTTCGAACTTCTTCAGTACTCGAAGCTTCATCACTCGGGACTTGGCACGGAAACTGATAGAAAAACACCACCCAGATTTACGCGTACCAGAACCAAGAAATGCGTCAATGAACACGTGTGTTTCATGTGTTTCTGCTGTTGAAGGGTCCAAAACGATGCCCAAACAGGAGTCATTCAGGCTTTTTAATGAAGAATTGCCCCATCTTCATCCATCTTGTGCTTCCGAAGTCACTTCACTTTCTTCAGCTGGCTGAGCTGGCGAAGAGTTGAGGGCCGGACAACGGTTCTCTCAAAGAGTTGGTTGGATCATCTAGAATCTTCTCAGATCATTTGCTTGTGCGTCATGGCACCAGGATACCATATGGGATTATCTTGCTTGAGCTGCATGGTGCTACATGGTAAAAACTGGTCGTTGTCTCCATGAATCCTCTGACCCATCGATTTCGGAGCTCCAAGGCGTCCAATTCCGAACCGTCGCCTGCATCGGCAAGCAGTTCCCACCAATTTGGCGGCCCCAGCCTGAAGCGATCGGCCGGCGAGGAGGAGACCGACGGGTCTGGCGACGGGTCGACCCGGACAGACCGGGTCTGGACCTGAACGGGTCAACTGGTCCCATTGGAGGCGTTCGTTAAAAAACACATGGATTTGTCAGGCACAAGGGTGACGATGATGTGATGATATGATGACACCAGTTTCTCGTAGTTCACATAAACATGAACACGTGCTCAGGAATATGAAAAAAATGATTTTATAAAACAGGTGTATGTTCATCTCAGTATGCTGTAGGACCGTTCATTAGTTAGTGCAAGATGATGCAAGCTGCCGGCGCTGATGGTGGCACTGCTTGTCTCCAGTGATCCATACTACCAAGTCCGAGTGGCTCTCCACAGTTCCGTCCATGCGCAGAGCGGCGAAGCCTCCCCTGGGCGTATGTAGATAGGGATGGACTATCTGACTTTCACGAACTGCCTACGACATGTTCAAAGCGGCGCCTAGGCAAAAAAAAAGAAGAACACAAGTGTCACAAGATGACAAGCGTGGAACATTCCCAGTTAGGGAGTGGGGAGAGTAGCAAATGAACCCGATTTAGAACGAACGGTACCAATCGATGGAGTGGAAGCTGGTTTTGTCCGACAGCACCGTTGATGCCGTTCGTTTGCGAAAGATCTGATTGATCCACAGGATCCGAGGACAGTTATGGTTGGTCCGTTTTGCGCCTGTCTTATTGGGTGCATATGTCCTAGTCTTACATACATGATCATAACTATGATCATACATGGCTGGGAGCCCATGGGTTAAAGAAAAAAAACATACACCAATACACGTGAGGTGGCTTTCCTGCAACACAGGGTGTGGCTCAGTGGGATTGAGTACGGTGGGCTCGGTCACGGATGAAGCGTTCAGCATCGGTACACGACCGGTTTTCGTCTTTGTTTGGTCTTAGGGGATGGCGATTGAACATGCACACCATGAACACGATGGATGTGGGTGAATCATATCTCAAAATACCTCCGTGTATCTCCCAGTTTTGACACCAAAACGCCCACACAAACCTGAACAAACCAATAAACATCAACGAACAACGACCTCTCCCAACTCCTTGCCAACGACCCAACCCGTGCCGCGGAGGGTGTTTGGCAGTGCCCTCTCCGGGCTCGTGCCCTCGGAAACCAGCCATTCAGGCGAGCCACACGGTGCCTGCGAGCCCACCGCGTGTGGCCGTGCTGGTGGTCCGAGGAGAGAATTCCCTGCAGAAATGATGAACAAAATCTACAATCCACCAGAAAAACCTCCACAACCATGTCCGGAACCTCTACATGTAGCATCTATTCATAAGCTTTTGTACGAGAAAACCGGAAGTTCACCTCCACCCATCTTTTCTGCTTGGTTCACCTCCTTGATACGTTGCTTTTCATACTCAAAGGTCTCCAATGTTCTTGAAATGGGTCCGCTGTCGGCAGCTGAAGTCTGGGAATGCCCAAAAAGTTTGAGTGATTTAAGTTGAAATGAGGGGTTTTACGATGACAATTGCACCTGGAAGGAACCCCCTGCTTCCAACACGCCGGGCTCGCTACATCGCCACATCTGCCTTCGATTTGCTTCACATTCTCCAGCCATCCGGTCTTGCCGCCCATGCTGCTATCTCCCCAGGTGATGACCTGCCGGAGACAGCGCGGAATCCAAACAGGTGCTATTGTTCTCTCAGAGCCAGTGGGGCGCAAGGTGGATCATCTTTCGTTGTACAGCTGCGCTCCTTCTTGGCCACCTTGGCAGGCCTTGGCCACCTTGCTGGGTCCCAGTCCTCACCCGCTCCTCACACCCATCCCAGTCCTCTGCTTTTCGGTGCAAACCCCCCGGTGACGCCGCTCTGAGTCCGGAGCGGCGCCTGGCCGTCGGCGCGGATGGCCGCGAAGGCACCACCCGAGGCCTGGATCTGCTCCACGTCCCTGGCAGCGGTTCGACCATCTGTGCCGGTCTCAGCCGAGAAATACAGGAAGGCGACGCAAGAACCAGGTGTCTGATCCACAAGTTTACGGTGCAGCCACAGGATCTATAGGTGTGTTGCTCTAAGAGTTTGCTGGTTGGTTTTGTGATCATGATTTGTGTGGAGAACTTGCTTGGGGTGCCGAATGCAGGGGGGAAAAAATAACCGAAACTCTTGGCGGGACGTGGAAGCTGCGGTCAAACTGACCGGTTTCTTCTCGGATTTGTTCCATCATGTTCCGTCTTGATCTGAAGAAGAATCCTCTCTTTCGTGGTGTTCATTCGTCTCTTTTCTTCTCCGGTTCACAAACACCAAAACCACAGGCCCTCCTGCATACAAAAGACACTCAGCGTATGGCAAGTGCATCCACATGCATAATTGTATACCTTATCATACTATCCACCCGGAACCTATCGCTCAAATCAAAAATGCCCCGTTCGAATCTGCGCTTTCCCTGCCCCAGGCTGCGCCTTAGCTCCTGCTGGACTCTTGAGGAATCGCCGCCCAAGCGTCTTGAACCCCAACCTCGTCGCGCAGGAAAACCGCGCGACAGTCTTCCAACGGATATACGGATGAAACAAAGAGGCTACTTTTTCACCCCTGAAACAGTTGGCCAAGTCCCATTGTTGGAAGAGAATAAGGGTTTGGTGATCGACATGTGTGAAGCGCCCGCCCCACCCCCAGTTGCTCGTTGTGCCATTGGCGATAGAACTATATATCATGATCTTTCAACTATCTACCAGTTTGCCATTAAAAACGTGGGCATGGGGCGCCCTCCAGCATGGATCCATGTTGAATCTGTTCCGAGGGACTTGAATCTTGGATGAAAACTCGATGACGAACCAGCAATCGATTGCTTGCCTCGTCGAACATGGGGTCACTATGTCCAATCCACAAAGAAGAAAACACCGTTCTTTAAACGTCAAAAAGAAATCCATCAAACACAAATGGTGGATTTCATAGGCAGTTTCCTCAAACTTCAGAACATCACCCCCAAGCTCACCAACATAATTCCCATCTGGAATGGCCTCCCCTCTTTCCTGCCTCAGTGGCCTCCCCCACCTTCTCACTGCCCTTCCATCTCCTTCCATCTCCTTCCCCACTGCTCACCATCTATACGCTTCCAGCGGCTCACGACGGAGCCATCGCCCCTCATCAGCGCGAAGGCGTAGCTCTGCCGGGTGGAGACTAAGCGCGCTTGCCGCACCGTGGCCTCGGAACGCCATCGGCTCCGACGAGGCGCGCGGGGTCGGATTTGGTGACGGAGCGGCGCTGACGGAGCGAATGGAGGGGGAGCGGCCTGCAATGAAGTTGGGAGAATTGGGGATGTCTTCTCCTTTTTGAGCGGGGTGATCCTTGGAGATGGCACCAGTTCAGAAAGTGTGTTGGAGAGCTGGTCGCGTTGGCAGAGGGAGGCGGTGGAACTGGCACGTGTCCTCTCCTCCCAAGGTTGGGTGCTGACTTTGAAATGCAGAAACTATGTGCATCGTGGTTGATCAATATTCTTTCATGGTCGTTGTATGTAAACCCCCTTACACGCCCCTTTAGATCAACTCTCACATTGGGATTCCCCGCAACTGGATTGTGGTTCAGTTCACTCCGGCCAGCCAGTTCCTCTCACACTCGGTGAAACCATGGGCAGAACAATGGCAAAAATCTCATAAGTCACTCACATAATAAGTGATCGGGCATTGCTTGCGGTGTAGTTTTGGGGCTGACATCTCATACGTCGCCAACGACTTTCTTGCAAGAAAATAGAGCTCCACGTGCAGACCACTTCGAGCTCCCAGGCATGAAGGAGGTCGCCTCCGACTAGCCCTGAGTGGGCCAGCGTGCTCCGGCCCTTCCTGAGTTTCTCACGACAGAATTCAGAAGGTGTGTCGTGTGTACGTGGGGGGATTTTCACCAGGATGATGAAGTTGGTAGCTATTCTTTAAGGAAAAAACAAAATCAGAGGGGCTTGCAAAAATGACTCCCACTTTTTTTTGACTCTCAGTTTCTTGTTTCTGACGCTATTGATACTCAAGAAGAGGGGGAGGAAGAAGATGAAGATGTTCTCAGGAAGAAGAAGAAGATGCTCTCAAATTTCTTCATTTAAGATGCTAAAGCTGAGGGGGAGGAAGAAGAAGAATAAAGTGATGATGATGATGATGATGATGAACACAAGTCCAACCCAACCCCCAACCTCCAACCCATCACCCAACCCACAACCCAAAGCTTCACGCCAGCTGGTGGAGAGGCAAGTCCTGGCAATCACAGCGTTCAGTGATGAAACGTGTTATCACTAAAAGGGATCCGCTCCGCACAGCTCATTTTCACCCTCACATCGACATGTCATCGCTTTCCGCAGTCACATCGGCGAGACAAATCAGGTTGAAGCCGCACTGATTGAATCTGATCTATTCGTTGGGACCTCGAATCTCGAATGTGGCAAAGAAAACATGTGACAAAAACATGTAACAAAAACAACTGTTGGACAAGGGGCCCAAATGAAAGAGCGGTCCTTCCACCCATGGTGCAATGTGATACATCTTTCCGCCGATTGGGGCCGTGGTATGGTATCCCACATCCTGACCAGGAGCATATGTGCAGGTTGCAGTCACGATGAGAGCCACTACCTTCCCTGCCTTGATATCCATCTTGTTGAGAGTCTGAACAACTTCCATCGCATTGCTTGATTTGCTCAGCATAGATTCACACTGGTTGTACAAGAACTCTTGGGTCTTCTCCCAAACATACCTCGAGTCAAAAACCGGACCCTTGACACAACGGAGACATGAACGACAAAGGAATGCTGTCAAGTAACTTCAGTGTCACAGAGTGCCTGATGTTCTCCAAAGTCACACGGCTATCAAAATCATCACTCCTTGGTGTCAGACTCATTCACTTGACGCACTTAAGAAATCCGACGGCCGAGTGACCCCGGCTCTTCCTGCGTCAAATGGTCTCTCCTGGATAAAGTGATCACGAAGCGCTGCAACCTGAAGAAGTACACGGAAACACTGAAAACCAAAACCAAATTCATTCAACACGACAATCATTACAGAATCTTGCAGTTGACACCTGGGCACTGCTCCATCTTGGCCAAGCATGACATGTCATCCAGCTGTCTCACCAGCAACTCAAGCATGAAGGTTTCAGCATCGTCAAGGTCAGACATGGCTCTCTAACAAGACCTGTCAGAACCTGCTCGACAAGGGTCTGCGGAGTGAGGGCAAAGATATGGCACATCAAACTCAAATCGCAGTATTTGACTTTGAACATGAAATGCTCCTTTGACATGACCGTTGAGGACCTTTGACCTGTGACTTTGAACAGCTCCTTTGACACGACCTTTGACCTCTGACTATTTGAATCTGAATCTGAATGCTGAAAAAATGAGTGTTCTTGAGGAAAAATGCTGAATCTGAATCTGAGATCGCCAACTTTTCCAACCCCAACCTCAAGATCCCAAAGGCATCATCAAGCGATGCGTTCTGTACAAATTTCCTGGCTTGGTGGATGACAGATTCAGCCCCGTGATGTCGATGCGATGCACATCCATCACATGATCAAAAACTGAGAACGGGATGAGGAGGCTGACCGCATCTCCCTCCTCATCCTGCTCGGGATCAAAGTCCCAAGCCAGCACCTTTGATGCCGGTTGGAGCACCGAAGGCAACGTCAATGTCTCGTTGAGTGAGACATCGTCTGCAGGGATCCAGGCGCCGAAAATGTCCAGGACCTTCTTTTTGCGCCCGGCTCGCATGTTCATCTCTGGTGAACGTGTTGGATGGTACCACGCAAACCTTGGTTTGTGGCTGTCAATCAAACTGCTCCACCTGAAAACTTGAATTGCCAAACCGTTCAATGCCTCCAAAGAACAATCCCTGCTCTTCGCCATCGTAATTTACCAACTCCATCAAAACTCCGAGAACGATGGGCAGCGTTTGATCTTTGCCAGCCACAACACAGAAGTCGCCAGGGCCAATGAAAGCCTTCCTGGCAGGTGCTCGCGACTCGTCCAAGCCTGTCATGGTGACAAGAGAATCCTGAGGCAAGTGGCCGATGTCAGCCCCCATCGAAATTGAGTAGTAGATGTCATTTGGGATTTCCAGGGGGTCTGGCTCTCTGGCGACAAGCTGGCACGGGCCCAAATGAGCACTTCTCAAATCCGAAATCATAGTCTCCTCAGTGCATATGAATGAACCCACCCAACCAAAGATCTAACATGTCGCAAAAATAATTTATCATCAAGCTTCCAGAGATGGGCCAGCATCTGGTCCATCCAAATAAGCCCGCAATTCACGAAGTTGCTCCCTTGCGACTTGGCCCGATGCTGCCAATGAGGCTTCCTTAGGCCAAGATCAGACAAAAAACTATTAATAGAAATCACGAATCATAGCTACAAATGCCCAAGCTTCCAACTTGTCTAAGAAGTTCAAGTGCTTCGCCTTTGATTGCTCATCAAACTCATGCTTCACCAAAGGCGGTTTTGCCGTGGCAAACACGGCAACGCGGTCATACTCAACCAGCAAACGTGGTGTTGACCATGACTCATCTGACACGTATTGCCTCCACTTGACCCAAATCCCCATATTGTCCACATAGAGCCGGAGGGAGTGGACATTTCGATATCGGTGAAGCTCGATGCCATACAAGGTGCGAAGGTGAGTGAAGTCGTAGCTTGAACCGTGGTGGCTCCAGTTCATGGCAAATGCCTTCAATGACTGGGAAGAGATAGTGGCCATTTCGTCCATTGTGAAATACGTTCGCCCCCTCAACGATGTAATCAATCTGGAAAAGAACCGGTCCAGCGATCCGTGAGTGTGTCCCACCAGCGGGTATTGAAATTCCACAGCCTTCAACTCAGTGCCATTGTGAAGGGTTGCCAGCAGCCAAATGGCCCAGCATACGCATGTACTGTTCTTGGTCTCTTTCGGGGTGTTGTCGGCCCCCACATACAAGCACTGTGGGAGCCGGCCCTCTTTCATAGCGGTACGATGGAGTTGCCTCGTGAGCATTGTTGCCTGAGAGTTGGCTCCATGGGAGGCGTTCTCCAAGGTGGTGGTCAGGCAGAACTCATCCTCACCTCAGGCACTCTGCGGAGCTTGCGTGAAACAAAAGCTGCAGAAAACTGATTTTGCACGTGTATCCAAGATGCGCTTTGGGCCAGCGTAATGCACACCCACAACGCCAACAACAAAGCGCTCCCCCAGCTTGAACAACTGTGTGGCAAGCCTTGGTGGTGTTCAAGACGCTTTCTGAACAGCAGGAAAAATGACACAGTAGCAAATATTGAAATCAGTAACATATCATGAACGCATGGGAGGATGGTCTTGTTCTGGTCACACTTGTCAATTGACAAGTACCTGACAGCAAGGGTCAGATGGTCAGTGGCAATGTCGCGCATCAAAATCATTCACTGCTGACATTCACACGCCCTCAAACAGAGGTCACCAATCTTCTCCAGTTCGCCGGCACATCTCTTGACACCTTGCAATTGCCAGCCGCTGCGCTGCCTGGAAGGTGTAGTGTCTTCCTGGAACCAATCACGAATACCTATGCAATTCAAGTCAGTCAGTCACAGTCAGGCAGTGAATCACAGTCCTAATCGCTTCTTCACAGCGGTGAGAATCTGGAGTTCACTTCTCGGGGTCTTGTCCAACATGTTCTTCAGAAAGGTGCAGGCCGAGCAAGCGGTGAACATGGACTCCTTTGTTCAGCACAAATGAGAAGTCACATGGCTTATGCCTTCCGACAATCAACTTTACGGCTTCAATCGAGAATCTGATTTGGCAATGCGAACCCAAGGCAGCTCGTTGGTCCAAGCTTTGCGAAAGGTCGATAAATCCGCAGGCTTTCCATCCAAATGCCCCAAATTTTGCTCACTCCTAGGTGTGACATGGTGTGACAATTTGTATGAACATGTCACGCATCACCCTTTGGTTTCACATACTTGGATTTGCTACTGACGTTTTTTCTCAATATAGCCTAAGGTTCCTCTCAAAGTCATACTGCGAATGGTAGAAAAACTTCCTGCCCGCTGGAAGATAGATCTGGAGGCTCATCGGTGAACGCTCCCCGTGCGTTTCAGCATATGTTTCGATCCACTGTCTGCTGTCCAGGTAGCGGTGGGCCTTTGCTTGATTGCGGATTGCCGTCCAGGCAAGGGCGTCACTACGCCAAATGCTCACCACTCCTTTCTCGATCTTGTTACGAATGTTCTGCAAGGTTCCACTGGATATCCCTGTAAGCTTTTGAAACGCCCTGCTGCAAATCCTCACTCCAGCAAACTTGAAGGTCCCAGGGTTGTCCTTGACTAAGTCTAACAGCATCTGCATTCGCCTGTCCCTGGGGAGGCTGCTCCAAAGAAAGCGCCAGTTCCTGAGTTTGGTCCAAATCACAGCTCAGCTTAGATAATGTTAAACCTGGGCGTCTTTCTGCGCTTTAACCGGGCCACTTCACGATTGCAGGGTTATCCACGAAGGTGCTCAAACATTCATGGTGTTCACGGCCAACAGCGCACTCACCTGCAATGTGGTTTTTCCTTGGTTGCACGAGTCGATTGTTCATGTGTGGCAAGCGCTTTGAATCTGATTACTGACTCTGATTCGCAAGCGGTTTTCTTGACTTGACGCTGAATGACAAAATGAGCCTGAGATTCAATGCCGCTTGTGCTCAGAAACCTTTCCAAACGCAAAATGGATTTTGAAGACAATGCTCTGGACATCGAATCATCGCTTTGCATGTTGACCTTCTGCAGGGACAGTGTTGCAACAGCATTCAGTGCCCGCTCTGCCTTCAGAAATTTGGCAGAATCGGGCAAGGCCTTGCGATCAACGGGACAAATCAAAACCAAGTGGCC